TTCTTCACAATGTTATATCCATTCATGTAATGGCCTAAGTAAGTCAATTAATTCAAGGATTCAAATCAAGTTAATTCAGGATTCCTAAAGATCTCAGTGTTTCATTTGGACACACAACCAACCAGAGGAACCCTCAAAAGAATGTTTGTTCTTCTAGGGAGGGAGTAATCTTGGTTTGTTTGAAAGAAGAAAGGAGGATGGTGAATTCTTCCATCCCCTGTGACATTAGATATTGGTGTGTGTGTGGTGAGATCTGTACCAACTGCAGTCCCGGATGAGCAATGCAGCATATCCATAGCAGTCTCACTATGAAATCACTGCCGATGTCAATTAATTCAGAAACTACCATGCCCCTGAGACCTTATTGCCAGCAAAAAGGTCCGCTTCTGTGACAGTTCATGAAGAATATCACCTCTGTGTAAGGTTGCAGACCTGTACCTTTCTGCCTCTTTATCCTCTGCTGCCCCCTGCAGGGGGAACCTGGCACAGCATCCTGCCAGGTGATCACAGGCCAAGCGCTGCTTAAAGCTTGTACAATCCTTGTGATCCAATCCGCTAGCTGGATTCTAATAGCCGGATCTTGCATGTGTAGCAGCTTTATCACAGCTTGACAAGGACTTTTCATCCCAAATTGAGCAGCTTCCTCTGTCTTTGGGGAGCAGTACTGGTGATAAACCAGAAGTTCACTCTGAGAGGCAGTGATGGCAAAGGGCTGGAGAGATTTACAATCCATTAACCCCTGCATATGCACTCTGAGGAACAGTGCTGGCAATAGGCCTGAAGAGATTTACAATTCATTATGCCCATGATTTTATTGTCTATATTGCTTTTTTGTCTTAGTGTAGATATTTTATATGCCTCATTTGTTTGAAGGCTCATATATGTGACTCACTTATATATGTTTCACTTTATTAGATATGTATGATTATTAGCTCGGCACAATATTGTTTTTTAAATTTTTTAGATATTTAGTTATATCCTTAGTGCTTGGTAGCTCTTATTTCCACATTACACTTACTGGCGCTGATCATCTATATTGTATATTTTTAATCCAATATGTATGCTTAAACTCGTTTATGAAAAGACATACCTAAGGTCCAGCGGCCTGAACCAAACTTGTGATAAATCGTGATATGTGAAGATGTATGTGAACCCCTTTCCCAATACAACAGAAAACATAAAATACCTTAAATTGATGCACCCTTGAAAAACGTCTCCTAAGAAAATAATGATTTCATCAACATGACATTGCAAAAAAAAAAAAAAAATTGAATTACTGACATGCATGAATCAAGCCACTTTGCCCACGCATTATGATTGCCAGGTTAGGATCGACTGGCTCCAGGCGATTAACTAATTATTAACCTGACCAACAATTTATTGCAAGAGTCTGAATAATCCCCCAATACATTGATTAGCAGGCAGAGATGTCCTCTTGCAGCAATGTTATTGCAGCTGTGGAGGACTCAGCCTACTGCAGCGAATCAGCCTGTCTCAGCTCCAGTGACCTCCCCCCTCAAATTGCCCCTGGTCGGCGAGTTGCCCTTACTCAGAGCTACCCCATTTCCTATTTTCCTCTCCCACGCAGCCAATACCTGGACCTAGCTATGGCTTCCCCTGCTGGCACCGACTCTTCAGTGTCGCCCTCCACCGCGCCGCCGCTGCCGGAAGTGGCAAACGAGGAAGGGCGGAAGTGACTTCACTCTGCTGGAACATCCGAATGCCGGCAAGACACCCGCCCCATATAAATAGCGAGCTGCCGTCTGACTCCTCCCACAAATGCGGCTAAACCTTTTAGCCTTTCACATGTATGTATGTATGTATGTATGTATGTATGTATGTATGTATGTATGTATGTATGTATGTATGTATGTATGTATGTATGTATGTATGTATGTATGTATATATGTATGTAT